GGTGGCGGAGGTGGCACAGCTGAAATTCAGAAGTAGGATACTGTGATCAGTATACTTGAGCAGCTAGCTGGTATCTTTAAACACCAAGATACTGGCAATGATTGTACATTTCTGAACAAAATTTTACTATTACATATGCAAGGCAGAAACTCTAGTAATTCTTGCTACAAGTGTTGTGTGTTTAAGATGGCATTAAAATAGACTCTGTAGACCTAAATGTCTCACTTATCCTAAAAATAATAGGTTTATAATTACTCAGGAAAGTCCAATTATCTACTACAGGAACTAGTGGAGAGTATCACAATTGAGATATGATTTATAAAAGTACTTAATTTTTTAAATGAATTAATTTTAAAACAGGCATTTTTCTAAATACACAAAGAGAAGTTCTGGGAAAAATTAATATCCTATAGGAATTTTGACATACAGTAAAAAGTGATCTTTTTAGTTCATGCAGTGGAAAAGTTTGGGACATGAGAATTAGTAAAGCACGATTTTAGTACCCTGAAATGTCCTATGACTCTGTGAAAGTTATTAAACCTCTTTTATTGTGTTTTCTCATCTGCAAAAGGAGGCTAGGAAGATCTCCTTGGCTGACTTTAAAGATCACATGTATGTAAACACACTGCTAAATGTACAGTAGGGACAAGTGGACTACTGTATCTATCTTCTTAGCTCATTTCTTTCTCGTGTACCAGTATTACAGCACTACTGGGATTAGGCAGGTACTTTGCCTGCCACACTCTCCACTTCAGTGCAAGGTAAGGGAGGATCCTGTGACCTGCCTACAGGTCCACAGTTTGCATGGCAGTAACCATGGTAGTTTCCAGTGTCCTAGAAATAGAACCAGCCTGACCTGGCCAGGCAAACTACAGAAGGGCTGACTGCTCAGGGACATCTCAAAGCTCTCCTCAGCCATAGCAGTCCATGCAGGAGACAGTCACTGTTAGTCATTTATTTGATAATATTTATTGTTTCTATTTCTCATAGACTACATATGTCAACAAATTACTACAATAAAATATGGTGTTATGATAAGATGATTGTTTAAGACACTATGGAAACAGAAAAAGAAGCAACAAGCTCTGTTTTAAGGACTGGGGAAGCCTTTGTAGAAAAGGTAATTTTGAGTAAAAATTTAAGGATCATCAGGATCTCGGCAATCAGAGGATGGTGGATAGGCATTCCAGGTACAGGGAAGAACAGGTACAAAAGTATCTTTGGCATAAAAAAGCATAGTATATTCTGGAAACATAAGTTTAAACAGGAGGCTAACTTGCTAGAGAGTCTAGATAGAGAAACCATACAAGTTTTTTTTATTCAGAGGAAGGACATGAAGAGACTTGTTTCAGTACCATAATTTTTTGAACTGTCTGTATGTGTGTTTGTGTGTTAGGAAGGAGAAAAGCTGGGCAAAGGGGAAACGTGAAATAAGCAAAACACTTAAGAGATTACTGCAAATAAGACATGAAAAGAATTGACCAAAAGGAGCAGCAGTTGGGAAGGAAAGAAGGCAGCAGATTTGAGGAAATGGTGATGGCACGAATGTGAAAAGGGAGAATAGAGACAGTTAATTATGACTTTGAAATTTGTTTTAGTTCCTAGATAGGAGGCGAGATGAGGGATGCAAGAAGAGGGAGAAATATTAAATCTAAAGTGCCTTTGACACATCTGGCTAGGGACACAGCAGGCAGTTGGCTATATGGTCTCATCTCAGTGAAAGTAATATGTGGGAGGTGCTGGCAAAAAGCTGCCTAGGAGGTGGTTGGATTACCCAGGAAGAGCTTGAAGATTAATGAATGAGTGCCTAAGAAAGGATCCCAGAGAACATCAGTATTTATGAGGCAAGGAAGGAAGAAGGGCCCGAGGAGGAGAAACGGGATAGCAGCGTGGTAATGGCAGAAAAGGAAGAAGTAGACTGGACCTGTTAACTCTGGTTTTGCACAGCATCCTAAATATCCTGGGTATATCTCAGCACCATAACAAGTTGAAAATCTTTTTCTAGAAGTGCCTAAGGAACTTAATTATTTCTCAAAAGGACAAAGCATTACTTCCTACCCCCCCCCTCCGCCAATTATCTGTTCATACCTGCACACTGGTGGCTCTGAAGCTGCTGGGAATTGCATGGTGAAGTAGTTCGAGGAAACTGTACTTGTTCTGATCCTGGGTGTTGCATATAACCTACTGATGAGCTATGAGGGAAAAAAATCAAACAAACACAGAAACACAGCACAATGAGATGGAGATGACTGTAAAGATACTTTGAACAAACAGTCCTACAAATTCATTTAAATGAAATATTGGTTAGCAGTAAAAGTCATATGTAACTTTTTTTTGGTGAGTTATAAATAATTATCTTTTGGATAAAATCACTTATGTTTATGGCAATAATACTGATTCTTTTTAAAATGAGAAGAAAAACAACTAATTCCATTGCTGTTACTCTTTTTTTATCTTATTCTTTCATACCTTATTCTAAACATACCTTTTGTATTTTTCAAATAACTACTTAAAAAAAGAATAAAATAACTAGCTCACTAACTTTACAAAAAAAAGGTAATTTATTTGGATGTCACAAAGCTATATTTTAGAAAAGAGTATATGCAGTTTGACAATGATGAGACTCAGAAAAAATATTTTATTGCTGAAAAATGTACTACTAATAAAAGAAACAATAGAACACAATTCTGACCTATTCCCCCATAAATACTAACAAAAATAAAAAAAGGCTGTTAGTGCAAAACCATTAAGTTATTGCTGTATTTTTCAAAAGTGAGTCTTTGAGACTCTACACATACAATTTATCATAATTATGTCTAAAGTTTTCTCTTTCTAGCAAGCTCTTTCAGGAAAATAGTTTCAAATCAGAGAGTGATACTATTAATTCTTTCTGGGAATTCTCAAGTAATCAGCAATCTTAAATTATACAAAAAAAATCCTATTAGTTATTATTCTTTTTTTTCATCATTTAAATAAACTTTCTTTACCTAGTATTATTTCTTAATCTAGCTCTAACAACTTTTTATACTCAGATCTCATGTAATTGCATTAAAAATACTATGTTGGATCCAACTACTGAATTACAGAGAATACAGGGAGGCATGTGAAACACCATGATGATACAATCAGGAAAGTCCAGACTATGGGACACTCCACAAGACAAATGTGTAAAAACATAAGCAATATTTGTGGGGTAGTTGGGCATATAAATACCAACTGCCTGTTTGATATAATTAAGAAATTAACTGTTAAGTTTTTTAAGATGTAAAATATTATTGTAATTATGTGGGTTTAAAAAACACCTTTAGGGATCCCTAACTGAAATACTCAGGAGTGAAATTGCATAGTATCTGGAATTATTTCAAAATCATATGGGAGGAGGATGATGTACAAGTTTAGCTGAAAGGAGATTAGTTGTTAGTTAATAACTGAAGAAGCTAAGTGATGGGAACATGAGGATTCAGCACACTTTTGTTTATATTTATGTATATTTAAACATGTTCACAATAAAAAGTTAAAAAATGATTCTCTAATTCAGGGTGAGAATTCTTTAATGAGTAAGGATGAATCAAGTTTTGTTCAGTGGCAATAACTCAAGTGTGTTTCAATAAAAAGGAAAAATAAAAAAATGTAAAGGGAAGATCTCATAAAAAGTGATTGGGGATCATATGACAAAAATGTACAAATAGTACTTTCTGAAATTGATGTTAATTATGACCAGAATGCATTTATGAGTATTAGCTACCTGTGGAAATAATACAGCATAAGACATGGTTTGTAAATGTGCTGTTCCTGGGGAGAACCGAAAGGTTCACCATAGAGTAAAAGGAGTTTTAGGCTCTGTTCTAACTAGGACAAATGCACCCAGGGCCATGCAGTGCCCCTCACCCTGATCTTGTTCATCAAGCACATTTTAATGACCTAATACTCAAGTGCTGAGGCACATGGGTGACAGGAAGTCACTCTGAATAGAATATTCAGATCATTGAGATGAGCGATATATCCCATACTACTAAACTATAAATTGTTACTTCAGTTTACCACTGTAGTGGGTTTTAGTTTTATAGTTAGGATAAGTTGGTTTTCCAGCACTAGATTATCCCTTAGGCAAATGAATTACAAAACTGAGTTCCGCAAATATTTTGTAGGGTGTCAGATGGTCCATGTCTTATTAGGGAGACCACATCATGGATGGGGTAGAGGCTTGATTCTGCACTGTACACCTGAAGCTGAGTTGTATAATATTGTATGTCAACTATAGTTAAATATATATATAGTCACGGGCTGTGGAGTATAGTGTGGGAGCGGAGTCAATAGAATTGTAATAGATATGATATGGGGGGGTGGGAAGTGGGGCGGTGG